TTATGCTCCTCAGTGCCTTCCCATCGAATTCCTGTGGCTTCCTTCGTACTGGATCACTCCTATTACTGTCATTCATATCTGGGATGTGACTTCTAACAGGACTGAAGATGTCTGCATTAGGGTTTAACTGCGGGGTCTGGAAGGGGCATGCCGTTGTCTGGGGCTGATTAAGTCGATGGTTAATGTATCCTCCTTGTGTAAAAGACAATAAATCATCCTTTAATGTATCTAGTTCGCTTTTAAATTTACTAATGTTTTCCATTTGTACTTCTTGTTTTCTTTCTTGTTCCAGTTGCCAATGCTGTAGTCTCTCTTCTTGTTTATGTTCTTTCTCCTCCAACAACTGCTGTAATTTATCTTCTTGTTTATTTTGCTGTTCGAGCTGCCACTGTTGCAGGTTTTCTTGCAACTGCTGTTGTCTCTCTTCTTGTTTCATTTCTTTTTCCTCCAACAACTGTTGTAATCTCTCTTCTTGTTTCTTTTCTTTTTCCTCCAACAACTGCTGTAATCTCTGTTGTTTATTTTGCTGTTCGAGCTGCCACTGTTGCAGGTTTTCTTGCCACTGCTGTAATTTTTCTTCTTGTTTCTTTTCTCGCTCTTCTTGTTTCTTTTCTTTTTCCTCCAACAACTGCTGAAATTTCTCTTCTCGTTCTTCTTGTTTATTTTCTCGTTCTTCTTGTTTCTTTTGCTGTTCTTGTATTGCTGTCATCAAATCTGCTAAGCTGTAGTTTGATTTGGCGCCTCTCGTTTCCATCTTCTTCTTTTTTTATTTTCTGTCCCACTCTCTGACACCAATTTGTTACGTCTCCGTTCATTAGTTAATTTTCCATAAATTCGTTACGACGAAACTTTAGCGACACAAGTCCTTTCTTAAATAAAACTGGTTTATTCTTTCCGAATACAACTTTACGATACACTTAATTTCAACAGTTGCTCTATAACAAACGCTATAATTCTCAACGAACGTCTCACGTGCTCGTGCTCGACTCAAGAATACTCAGTTCAATTACACACACTATTCCGTCACGTTGTGACCGTCTTATATATACAAGACTAACACATATCTGGTAAACGCTAGAGCATTCATGAAGGTTCGAGAAGGACGTGGCGTGATACTAGTCACGTGATCTCGCTGACGCAACAATACCATGGTGATAATATGCACGTCATTAATTAAAACGATGAATAAGTTAATTGTGAAATTGGTTTCTTGCTTCTTAGCTTTTTTTGTTTATTTGTTTGAATGTAGTTTCAGTAATATTTCCGTTTTATTATTGTTCTAGTGATTTTTAACATTTATCAAAATAATTTTTTCAATGCATTAAATGCATTGTTTCCAGAAAACTTAAAATATTTGAACACTTTATCTAAAAAAGAACTATTTATCAATTTTACATATTTTTGTTTTAACTTAAATCATATGAAATTAAAAGCAAAGTAACAATGTGTTATCCAAACTCGTGGTCACGTCGCTAACTCAATGTGAGGTTTCTGAATTCCCTAGTTACGAGAACGAGGCTACAAGAACATAGACGCCATAGATGGAAGTGAAGCGATGCTCCAGGTTGCTGAGACTCGGAATATTTACCAGAATTACACAGTTGCTATCATAGTTAAAGGAAAAAAGTTAGCGGTAGAAGATAGTAGGTGTATTAATCTGTTTCTGTTCAGCAGTCAGTTATATATATATATATATAAACAATCACGGTGTTGAAGCAACAATTATTTAACTCTATCGAATTCCGATAAAATACATCCCTTGTCAAATATTTTCAATTTTATTTTCTGCTTCAGCATATCAAATTACTCTAGCAATTAATGAAGTCATTGCATAGAAGAGTAAGCTTTTAAAACTATTTTTTAACCATCGAAGTGTTGGTGAAATGTATTAATCGCACAGAAAGCAATTTGAAAAAATCTTGAAAAAAGTATTATTTAAAATAATCAAGTAATTATTTTCGATATTTTGTTATTTTTAATGATGAATTATACTTTGTACGTTTTGTTATTTATGAATAAGCCGCATAGTTATACGATTTGTACCATTTTATTTTTGAAAGCTAGACAACTTTAAATTCTTATATAAATACACGCTGGGTTCGTATTTTTGTTGTTTCATAAAAAATTCAAGTTTGAAAATATCGAAGTCCTAATGTATAATACCTCTAGTATATCTAATGTCATTAATCTTTATCGGTGGAGTAGAAAGATGTCTAACACTGGGGGTGTGGAGGTGAACAATTGGTCTGGTGTTACATATCCTATAATGTACCTGTGCAGACTGATAGAAATTAGTCCAGAGGCACTATAAGATTGGCATTTCTCTCTCTCTCTCTGAAAAACCAAAGTGTTTTTATATTTATTGAAATAGTGAGGGGAGGGAACAAAATATACGTTGGGCCTCCCTGTTCATTCTATAAAATATTTAATTCCTCTATTGGAGGATTAATGACAATAAACTGGATTTTTGTACTGAAAAACTAAAGAATGTGAATTGGCATATAATATTAATGATTATGTCGTTTTTAATTCCTTAGGCCAACAACTTTTTTATAATCATTTACGAATGTTTCGAAAATATTCAGAAAAGAAGATCTGATACTGATGATATAATTATGATTATTGGATTGTTTGTTTGTAATTAAGCACAAAGCTACACAATGGGCTATCCGTGCTCTGCCCACCACGGATATTGAAACCCGGATTCTATCGTTTTAAATCCTCAGACATACCGCTGTGCCACCGGGGGGCTATTTATTGGAATTGCAAAAATATATTTTTTACTTGCAGTTTGAATTGATATAAGTGTTCTTTTTATCTCCTTTTCACAGCAAAAGATATACATAAAAATTAAGATTCCTCTTTGTGTTCAAAACGTTAATCTTCAGAAGACTACTAAAACACGCACGCAAATCTCGTTAATGAGGAATCAAGAATTATTATGATCCACGATAGTGGTTCATAATAATAATCGCAAGGAATTGCGCCAAACAATAATTGAACGTTTGAGCAAAAAGTACCATCAAAAGTAAAGATTCAGTTCAAACAACACTTTAAAACCTTTACTGTTGACTGCTAAGGTTGTACACAAGAAATGCTCAAGAAAGCACGCATGTTAAACTTACAAGGGAAAGAAAATCCGCTCAAAACGGCCCGTTTGTAATTCTTCATAGTTTTATTATTCTCTTGCCAGCCTACAACAAAAAAGACTTGGTATATTGCACCCAAACCTTTTGTAGAATACTAGATGAGATACTGCAAATGTCGTAGGTGTATGGAAGAGCTGATTGTTTTTTTTTCTATATTTTACATAAGTTAAAACCATCATAATTCTAGTGTAAACGATGTTATCATTGTCCCTTGAAGGTACCTTTTTACAGATATATGTTGTTTCTATAAAAACCTTAAATTCCGGAATTACCAGCCAGTAATACATGAAAATTTAATGACTATAACATGTAGATACTCAATGATTTGTACATTACACAATCGGTGTCTTTAGGGAATTAACCCCTATATTATGTATGAAGTGAAGGAGTAAAAACAAAATAAATATACATAATATTAAATTTTATTACACACATTCAAAGAATAATTACTTTTAAAAACACGAAGGTTTATCTAAAGCGATGTTTTAGACGTATGTGTTTTATTTGAAAAGGCTGCTGTTCTATTGATAAAATTGTATATGCGCTTATTGGGGATTGTGTCTTAGTCTAGGCATATATTTGCTCATTGCTATGCATTATATATAGAGAATTTAGTTGCACAGAAACTATAATTGCTCACTGTATTCTCAAACAAATCACCATGACAATCTCCAGCTACAGCTTAATATTTTATATCTCGAACTAATGCGATCAAATAGTCAATAGCTACAATAAATCATTATGAACCGTATCAGCTAGCTACTATTATTATTACAATGTATAAAGTTAGCTACCATATAAAGTAATCCTTTGCCCAAAGTTGATAATAAAAAACCCGGCAAACAAGATATATAAAAAAATAGGAATTTAAAAACCTGTAAAATGAGATCGTAAAAAAGTAAGGAAATAAGGCTGGAAATATTGTTGATATTATTTACTCAAACTATAAATCCCTATTTTGACTCCACCAAATGTAATTCTAAGTAACAGCATGGAGTCAAAATAGGGGGTTTGTAGTTTGAGTACACGCTGTTTACAGTATCTCCAGCCTTATTTCCTTACTTTTTTACGATCCATATTTGCAGCTTTTTAAATTCCCAATTTTTTATTTGTCTTGTTATAATGGATGGATTTTTCTTAACACCTATTTTACGACTGAGGGAAATATGTTTAGTGGGTTGATTCCCAAACAAAGGTTTGCGATAATCTCTTTGAAAGGTGATATATATATATAATCTTAAATCAAACGTTTGTATCATAAATCTGTTTGTATATTCCAGATGTTTACGATGTAGCAGTTTTGTGTGCAGTGTTTTGCCCTGGAAACATGGGGAGTGATGCTTTTTCTGAGATTATCAGGATTGTGAAACCAGGTAAGAAACTACGTACATGTAAGATGGCCGAACTAGTGGTTAGCGTAATGGACTGCCTTTCTATAAAGTCCAATGTTCGCGCTGTTTTGCCGCTGAGTTCACTCCACACTTTCGGCTGTATATGCGTTATAAGAGTGGCAGTCAGTCCTGTTATTCAGTTGAAATCCAGAAAAAAAAAGACAGTGGCAGTTGATGTTAACTTCTTTCTGGTCAACAGTTGAAAACTAGGGACAGTTATGCTTGAAATCCAGAGGTGTCTAATCTGGTCATTTAACCTAGGTAATCAAAAGGTGTTGTTAAAGGGAGAATATCAATATCAATACGAGAATGCGAAAATAACAAATAAGCATCATTGAATGAATGAAATTTATAATAACCGAAACAGAACATGCAAGTTACTGTAAACAGAGCGTGGTTATCCTTGTCCAGTTTTTTAGTTAGCTTTATTACTTAGAACTGTTAATGTTTTCTTTTTTATGACTAAAACAAAATGAAAATAATGAATCATGATACACTGCATAGTGATATGTGAACTAAAAAAGTTAACGAAAAGAGTTTTAAATTTCCCTGATATGTCGATAATCGGATAATCACCCCAGATATCAAACTAAGTTCTTGTGAAATAATTTTCATACAATATTTCAAGTACGAGTACATTATCTTTCTTTGGGTTTCGTTATACAGAAGATTGTTTTTAATACTTTGAAAAGCTACACAAGAGCTATCTGCGCTAACAGTCTTTAGTTATGAACTAATAGAAAAGAGGGAAGACAGCTAGCCAACAGCACCCACTGCCAACTCCTGGGCTAGTCTATTCAAATAGTCGTCACTCTTACAACGTACACATGATCCCAAAATGCAGAGCGTGATTTTGTGGCAAATAGATGCAAACCATGGACCCTCAGATTCATAATCTGGCTAGCTGACCATTAATCCACGCTCAGCCCGCATAAAAATATATTGCTTGGGTAACCTGTAATTAAGTTGTGTTTATATATATATATGATGAACAACCACTAGTATAAAGATCATAACATTAATATTTGTTTTTGTTCCGTTTATTTCTTCAAAGCCCCCATAGGCACAGCGGTATGTCTGCGGACATACAATGCTAGAAACCGGGTTTCGATACCCGTGGTGGGCAGAGCACACTTAGCCTACTGTGTAGCTTTGTGCTTAACTACAAAAACAAACAAACAAACACTTTCCTTTCAATGCGTCTGTATGAGATTTAGCTACATGTATTAGAAATATTGATAAGAATGGATCACGTGGGGTTGGTAGTGCCCATGAGCAGCGGAGGCTCAGCACAAATTTTTTATATGTTTACTTCTCAAATCATGACATATGATACAAAAAGGTCACATACCATTTAAGCATCTGGATTTCAACGGTTTCTGATTACACTCAGAGTGCATGCACTAGCAGTTGAAACTTCAGAAAGCCTTATGTATAATCCTAGAAAAATAGGGTAAAAACAAGACTCATAAAGAAAACTTGAATGACGACTGAGTCGACTGAGCATAAAAAACGATGTACCATTAATCGCAGAAAGAATCATTTGAACGGTTGTTGTTCTCGTTTTTAGTGAAAAGCTACACAATGGGCTATCTGTATTCTGTCTATCGCCTCCTCTCCATTGGCTCAGTAGTAAATCTGAAGATTTATAACGCTTAAAACTGGATTTCGATACCCGTAGTGGGCACGGCACAGATAGCCCATTATGTAGCTTCGTGCTTAACTACAAACAAACTATTTATACTTAGAAATATTTTAAGATTTTTGTGTGTTAGCTTGTTTGTATTTAAGCATAAAGCTACGCAAAGGGCTATCTGTGCTCTGCCCACCACGGTTATCGAAACCCGGTTTCTAGCGTTGTAAGTCCGCAGACATAACGCTGTGCTACTGGGGAAATACTATAAAATAAATTACAGAAGTCATGAATAAAATTATGATTAGTTATTCATATCAATGCAATTTTGGTTTTGGGAACTTCCTATTATAAGATAGAGACAATATTATAGCTTTGTTAGATTGCACACTCGAAGATAAAATTAGTAAAGATTATTAACAAATACATAATTAAAACATTCAAACGATTACCTTTTTTGTTTTTTTTGTTGAGTACACAATTTAAAAACTGTATCCCGAGACCGTGTACGGTCTCAAAACAGACCCTAGAGGGCGCAGTGGACAAAATGCGGATAACCCATTGTATAGTTTTTGCACTAAAAACATGAACAGTTACAGAACAAAGTTTTTAAATTGTGAAATTATAAAACGTCTGTTGTTGGAATGTTTTAATTATTTATATTTACCCAAGAACCTTGAATTTTAACCTTTTGACAAACACATAGGTTCTTCCTTTAACTTTCCTTCAACTCATTTAAACACAAAATTATTCTTCTCGGTATTTATTGCTAACATTTTATTCTGTTTGAATATATAAAACTAAAACCTTGAACTGATTGTACACAAATTGTCATGTTTTAGTGAAACCTTGAAAAAGAGAGAACCTGCTAATTTCTATGTAAAACTAGGTTCCGGGTCGGATGAAAGGTCTTCCCTAATCAAGGATACTTTTTTTTTCAAAGCCATTCCATGTTGCCTTGATTCGCATGTATATGCCTTAACCTTAGTTCCCACATTTTAAATTATTAGATCTCAGTTTTTACTTGACCGGTTATTAAAGATGGAATTGCAGATCACTCTTGATATATGTTGCTTCTTTAGCCGAGTTATGGATAAGAATTCTTACTTGTTTAGACAGATTATGAATAAGAATCCTTAATTGTTTAGCCAGATTATGGAACGATAATCCTTACTTGTTGAGCCAGATTATGGATAAGAATCCCTCCCGAGCTCATATATTTTATTTTTTCAACTGTTGTTGTTTCAGCTCAAAGCTACACAATGGGCTATTTTCGCTTTGACCATAAACTTAACACTGACCGATCAGAGAACCATTTCTTCACAAAAAGCTCATTGTTTCCTCTACTGATCATCAACTACTAGCTACCAGTAAGGCATATAACAGTGCCCAATATACTTTTTACTGACAACTACTAGCCACTGTTAATGTAGATACAGCAGCCAAAGATGTGGCTTCCTAAACAGGAATTGCTGTGCTAGTTTAATGATGAGCAACTAACCTATAATGGTAAAGCAGAGTCAAACATTCCTTTAGTGATCATAAATTAATAGTTACAGCAAAGTAGACAACATGCCGTTTACTTATTGAGAACTGATGACTTCCTTCCAATTCCAGTTAAATAAACCAAGACAAGTATAATTTCGATGATACAAACAAAACCGCTTTAAAAAAGAAAATTAATGTGAGCAATAGGATTGTCTTTATTATTAAAAAATAAAGATCATATGCACTTATTATGTCAGCACAAAAGAGGAGAAATGAATAAAAATATAACCGTCTTTTTCATAGCTAAATTTTACTTTAAGAAATTGATTCCTAAAAAGTATTATGAAACTTTTTTTTTGAATCATTGTTCACAAACTGAAAAGTTTCTTCTCATAATTGTTTTGATGTTGTATTTTTTCTAAACGAATTGTGCTATGCCACCGGATTTAAATTGATAAATTGAAGATATATTATTGTTAATCAGGAACTTGGACCAAAAAGAGAGACAATAATTATTTTCCTATGAATCAACTATAAGTTTACTGACTTGCAACGCTAAAATTCGGGGTTCGATACCTAGTGATGGACAGAGCGCAGATAACCTATCGTATGGTTTTACGCTAAAACAAGAAACAAGCGAAAGATTTTCTATAATACATTTTAACTGCACTTGTCTTAAAAATATAAATGTCATTGACATCACATGGTAGATTACTCGAAGCGGTAAAAGTATTGCATATGTTTTATTAACATTATTGATTATATTAGAACTTACCTGTTTTAATATTTTACAGAAAAGAAAGGTGTTTCAAGTAATCTAAGTAATTATATTTTGTTAACATCGAATGACAACAATACAAAAACGAAACGAAAGGAAATACTGAAAATGATCTTTAATAAATTTCAAAATACTTTAATCAATGTTAATTTCTGATCATATCAAACTATTTTCTTAGATCGAAACTAAAAATGAACCCCGGTAGTGAATATAGCTAATTAACTATATTATTATTACGTTCTCTTATAAAGAGTGGCATAGCGGTATGTCTGCGGACTTACAACGCTAGAATCCGGGTTTCGATACCCGGGGTGGGCAGAGCACAGATAGCCCATTGTGTAGCTTTGTGCTTAATTACAAACAAACATATGAAGATTAGAAAGCATTGTTACATCCTTTGAATACCCTAGTTGTTAACGATATATTCCATCGTAAAACCAATATTTTAAGAGGTTCGGCCAGCTTAAGAGACTTAGGCTAGTCCTAAATCCCTATATATCAAACTAGCAATGTAAAATAATCTCTACTATAAAAACATAATAATATAAATTAAATAAAATATGACTTTTCATGTTAGTTTTCTAATCTAAACACCTAATTCGAAAAAAAAATTGCATACATAATATCTGAATTTTTTTTACAACAGGTGGCATTATAATTTGGGCTATGCGAGCTCCGCATCTGTTTGCTGACGTATCCGAACATTTTAGGAACGGCAAGTTTGAAGCAGATGTAGAAGAACTTGTGAAGAAAGGAAAATGGCGGCATTTTCATATGCCGAAAACGATTCCTTACTTTCACGGAAACGAGGGCACTATATTTACCATGCAAGTTATATAGTCCTTATGCGAGTTGAAACTAAGTTCGGGATAATTGTGCTCAAAAATAACAATATAAAGTAGCAACCAAAGTAAACCAATATCTTAGTTGGACTTGCACTAAATGGTAAGTTACACTAAGAACACAGATTTTAGTCTAATTATTAAAGAATTCACTTCTGTTCAGAGTTGAGATTCATTCTTAGGTAATTCGTTCCACAGTAACATGTACTGAAACAATGACCGTACCTTCAATGAAAATAAAATATCAAAAGACTTTCTTCCTCTTATTACTTTATAAAAGTTTTATTACATAATGCAATCAGAAGGAAAATGAACCGCTTAATTTATATCCCCCCTTCTTTCAACAGTTTTTGTGATTAACAAATTTTACTGTAGTTGATTACGCCCTTACTTGAGTTTTATTCCACTACAATGCTTCAACGTAGTTTGAAAAACCAGTTTTTTGGTTTCTATCAGTATTTTACTATTAACGTTAATATATTTTGTAACAACTTATAGATTTCATCGTTTCATTCTGAAGTTTACTATTGTTTTAGCATATTCTACTTCATTATGAATCTGTACTCTTATAAAATGCTTTGATATTTTTGTAGTACACCTTATAAGGGTTGAATATGTAAAGTAGCGAATAATTCATGATACTCATACACTGACGAACCACATCATTAGGACTCCCATCTAACATCTGGTTAGTTGTGATAATAGACTGGACGAAGAGATGCAGAGAGTCCAGTATATGATAAACAGAATCTTGTTCAGTTTTAACTCACGTCGAGCAGTACGGTCTGCAATTGGATCACGTATGTCAATAGAAGGTTATAACTGTTAACGCAACTTCCAGTTTCATTCCAGGTATACTCGGTCGGACTGAGATTTGGTAATTGGGTTAGCCAAGAAAAATTACTGAAATCTCTGTCATGTTCTTCTAACAAAATCTGAACAACACAAGGGCGATGGATTGTTGCACTATCGTCTTGGAAGAGCCTTTATCCATAAGGGCTAAAATAAAACGTTGTGAGGTGAACATGATTAACACCACTGCATAAGTACACTTAATATTTTTTAACTTTTCTCAAGAAATCGATTGCTGAACCCACACTAAGAGAATTTTCTTGTACTGTCTCCCAGACGTTTCTGTCGAAATGAAATTAGCAAGGTCAAGTGCATCATGTATTCTCTATATTTTTATTAGGCCAACAGTTCAAAACAAGACTGAAGTACCACTAATATGCTTTAGACATTAACTGCCCAAAATTTGTGATTTAATCGTAACTGAAGCCATACATTCTCATTGCTTTTCAAATAAGATATTTTGGACAGGTTGTTTGAAAACATTCGATTTTTTTCAGCTGTTCAAAGAATAAATCAATCGAGGTGTTTTTACATTATCGCTTTACAAGCTGGTATGTTCTATTTTGCATTTGCCTGCTGCAAATTTTTGTTAGGCGAGACTTTTCCTTGAGGCAAACGTTTTTCCATTTTAATTGCCAGTGTCGATAGACCGTAATAGCAAGTGTCTTTGAACGGCCCGAGAAAGACTTGGTCATTATATATATAATGACGCTCTCTTTAAATATATACATATATCATGCCACTTTGAAAATCGTTTAGCAGACCAACTAATGAATAACCAAATGAAGTTTTCTATAAATGTCTGTGGGAAATAAACCAACAAGTCAGTGTATTAAAAATACATGTTGTCAGACTGAACCTGCACTATATCACAGTACCTTAACGGATTTAATAATGCATGGTTTCCGACTTGAATGTATAGTCTACTTGAAAAATATTCAAAATTTATTCCGCTCTTCAGAGGCCTTTCATCCAATATAAGAGCTTTTCAGGTCATCTGGATTGTGACAGACGTAGTAAAGGTTTCAGACTAGTCATTTTTATTAGCTAATTGCATGAACAACATATCTTATGAAATGAACTGGATGAATTGTGGAAGTGCAATGACATAAATTTTATTGTTGTCACATCAGAATTAGAGTAAAATTATTTAAAACTATACCATTTATTCATTACAACACCATATATATATATATTAACCCTCTCATAATTCAAGAGAACTAATGAACAAATAACCTAATCTTTTTTATCCCGGAGCGGTGTTTAGAGGAGACATTACTCATTGAAGAACAAAAAATATACTGCTAAAATTTGGGTGTTTCTTCATCCTCAAAAACTTATCTTTTTTTTATTCACATCAAACAAAACTGTTTAGAACTCGAACCAAAGTAAACAACATTGGAAAGCACACAGCATACAATGAACCAAATAGCGGCATGGGTTTCATTGTACTACTTTGGCGTAGATTACACAAAATAATGAATACAAGTAATAGCTGAGAAGGATGTATTACTCTTAATTATAAAAGGAATAAAATGAAAATGGTTTAACAAACTATATTTCAAATGATATATTACAGTATTTTAACATATTCCATACACCACGTTATTATGTTTAAACTGTAGTGTACTACTATTTCAGAATTTTGAAAATTATTTTCGAATAGTATTAGCAGAAAAAAAAAAATTGCATAGTTTCTATGAAAAAAAGGGCTGATTCTTTTGGTTATAAGCATACGTTTACAAGTAGCACATGAAGTTTATGTACGTTCATATTAAAGTACAAGATTAATGCTTTGGATTCTTTATTTCTAGCTTCTATCGATATTTCTAATATATGACTACTGTTTGCCTGTTTGACAATGACTTTTTAGAGGTGATTAATTAACCTTAAGTGATAAGGCGATCTTTAGAATTTTCGTTTTTTTTTCGTTGTTTTTTAGAATCTTGTCACCAAACGAAGCATCGCTACTTATGGTACATTTTTTAAACTAAAATGCCAGCCAAAAAAGGGTTTAAACTTCGTGTATTGTAGTTTCTAAGCCCTACAAAGTGAGATTTAGCAAACTTCTCCAATAAAGTTCAACGAAACTACCAAAGTAACAGCGAAACTTCATCGGGATCTGGGATGGGCAGATGTTATATATATATACCTCTTCCTCCCTCTTACACTGGTGTTATATGATCCGTATATGTCGGCACAATGAATTGGGGAACATTGATAAATGAGGATTCTGTTACTGATATAATTACATTAACCCTATCAGGGTCATGTTCATTTATATGCAACGTTGATCATTTGCACTGATATACATTTCGCTCTATTTGGAATGTCAGCATTTCACAAATAGTCCCATATATGTCAATACTTGCTCATTTGGTAATACATTTAGTATGTATTTAAAATAACCACCGTTTTAATACATAGTACATACACAACGCAAACGATATGATTAGATAAGCCTAGCAGTAGTTGGCTGATTGCTATACTTGTAGTACAAATTTATAGGGGGAGAGTAACTAAGATTCATTTCCATCATGTATAATAGTGATTTAGCGAACACACTAGTTCGTTTTTGTTTTTAGTTTTTCCAGGAAATCGGTGATCAACCTATTCAGAAGTCTGTCGTAGAGTAGCTGTATATTCGCATATTTGTGTAAAAAAACAGCTTATTGTGCGTGGAACTTTATATACAGTTAGTGAGGACTGAGTTTTGTAGAGTTTGCAAATTCTGTTTGATTATGTATAGTGCAACGTTGATCCAAGCTGGGCATGCGTATTCGACTACCGGCCATATGTACTGTTTATAGATTTTTATGTTTCTCGATGATGTGCCTGTGTTTTTTTCTGAAAAGCTTCCAGATATGTTTTTTTAAATCGCTTACGTATAGTTAGGGAACTCGAATCAAAAGGAGACGCCGAAGTAAGTGGAGATCAAAGGCTGCTGCTTAGTGGGGTGTCGTTTGAGGCTAGAAAATCACGTGACCTTTGATGTCATAATTCCTCAATGTGCCGCTAGGGGCGGATAATTACAAAATTTGCTACTGGAGATATGCAATGAAATCAAGTATGTGGAGTATAAAAAACTGTGGAATGCCAATGAACAGTGCGGCCAATTGTGAGAACTGATGAGCGAACCACTACAAGATGTATGAGAGTATGTCGGGGTGTTGTTGAGCCTGTCTGGACAGTATGTAGGGGTGTTGTTAATCCTGTCTGGACATGATTGTCAAGCTATGTCATAAGAAACAAGATAAAAAATATTATTTCATCCTTTATAGTTTTTAACATAATATTTGTACTGCATTATCGTTACGGTTAAATTTCTAATTTCTCTTCAATAGATATTTATGCAACAATAAGCAAACCATATGGTTATGTAGATTAATAATATATATTTCATTAAGTATGTTACAGACTGACTTTTTGTATAGTATAATTCACGAGTTACATATATGGTTATCCATATACTAGTTTGTCATAAAATCTACGTAGTCTTTAAAATAACTCTTTCTTACTATAGTTTATTCTGCAAAATCTACAACTTCGTTAAGTTATCGAACAAAATGATAATTATGTTGGTCTTCTATTTACACCAAAATTGTCATTCATGCGAAAGTTAAATGTATGCTAGATTCAAATTATTCTATATTTTATTTGTTTAATTAGAAAGTTATTTCTATTTATACAAGCCCCCTCACACACACACACTCAGTGGAAAGTCTGATGGCTTATAACACTAAAAACTGGGTTTCAATATCCTCAAAGGGCACAGCCTATTGTGTAGCTTTGTGCTTAACGACAAAGAAACTAAACACAAACGACTTGTACAAATGTCATAACTATAAAGCACAAATATATGTGCGTGTCTCTCTGTTTGTCCGTTATCTAACTACTCGTAGGTCGCTGAGCCAATATCAACCAAACTTTGTGGGATGATAGTCTGGAACAAGGGGCATGTTATTGGATGTCCACAACCCCCTCTACCTCCATTATTGCTGTTACTGAGCGTTTATTATCTTCGACGTAAGTTAACATTAACTACATTCATAAATAGCACCAAACTAAAAGAAAATTATTAAATTTTCGGATTTACAACGCTAAAATCAAGAGTTCGATTCCCCTCGATGAACACAGCAGATAGCTCGATGTGGTTTTGCTATAAGAAAACATACACACATTAAATTTTCTATAACACAACATACACACAGCGTGGGGAGGGCACACAAACGTCTTATATGTCTCAGAGAGTGCGCTAGCGCTATATGGAGGAATGCAATGAAAGTGAATGGCCGCCACTATTCCAATAATACTTAAACTCAGATGAAGTTGATACTTGAACTTAAGGCTGATATGAAGAGCTGTTTCTTGAAATATACCCACTTCCTACTTTGACCCGTGACC